TCTGTGATGAAGATCACCTGGGCAGGAGGAAGGGCAGGATCAGCTCCCCCGGCCCTGAGGGGCTGCTGGGGGCAGGTCCTGGGCCTGGGACCCCCACCCAGGACCCCCAGGACCCCCTACCCGTGCCTTGGAGTCCTTGACGTCCAGCCAGTACTTGTGGAGCTTCACGATGTTGGGGTGATCCACCAGCACCAGCTGCTCGAACATGGTCTTGATCTTCTCCTGGGGGCACACGGGGGGCACGTCAGGGGGGCCTGGGATGGGACAGGGCAGGGGAGGTGGCAGGGCAGGGGAGGTGACAGGACAGGGCAGGGGAGGTGGCAGGGCAGGGGAGGTGGCAGGGTAGGGGACGTGGCAGGGAAGGGGACGTGGCAGGTCCTGGGATGTGATGATGGGGATGTGGCAGGTCCTGGGATGTGACAGGTCCTGGGATGTGGCAGGACGGGGAGGTGACAGGACAGGGGATGTGACAGGGCAGGGGATGTGGAAGGTCCTGGGATGTGGCAGGTCCTGGGATGTGGCAGGTCCTGGGACGTGGCAGGACAGGGAATGTGGCAGGTCCTGGGATGTGACAGGATGGGGAGGTGGCAGGGCAGGGGAGGTGGCAGGTCCTGGGATGTGACAGGGTAGGGGAGGTGGCAGGTCCTGGGATGTGATGGGACAGGGGAAGTGGCAGGGGCTGGGATGTGGCAGGACAGGGGAGGTGACAGGACAGGAGATGTGACAGGGCAGGGGATGTGACAGGATGGGGATGTGACAGGATGGGGAGGTGACAGGATGGGGAGGTGGCAAGGCCTGGGATGTGACAGGAGAGGGGATGTGGCAGGGCCTGGGATATGACAGTATGGGGATGTGGCAGGTCCTGGGACGTGACAGGACAGGGGAGGTGGCAGGGCCTGGGACGTGGCAGGTCTTGGGATGGGACAGGACAGGGGACGTGGCAGGGCCTGGGATGTGACAGGATGGGGAGGTGGCAGGTCCTGGGACATGGTAAGACAGGGGACGTGGCAGGTCCTGGGATGTGACAGGACACCCCTGAGAGCTGGGAAGAGCCTTTGCCCCGGTCGCAGGGACACTGGTGTGGGGTGTGGAGGACACTGGGACACTGGTGTGGGGTCAGGAGGACACTGGTGTGGGATCTGGAGGACATTGGTGTGGGGTCAGAAGGACACTGGTGTGGGATCTGGAGGACACTGGTGTGGGGTGTGGAGGACACTGGTGTGGGATCTGGAGGACACTGGTGTGGGGTGTGGAGGACACTGGTGTGGGGTCTGGAGGATGCTGGTGTGGGGTCTGGAGGACACTGGTGTGGGGTCAGAAGGACACTGGTGTGGGGTCTGGAGGATGCTGGTGTGGGGTGTGGAGGACACTGGGACACTGGTGTGGGGTCAGGAGGACACTGGTGTGGGGTCAGGAGGACACTGGTGTGGGGTCAGGAGGACACTGGAGCTCTCCCTTTGAGGGCTAAGGAGGCAGACCCAGGGCAGGGAGGAGCCCACCCCACCAGCCCGTGCCCGCAGTGCCCACGGGGGTGCCCGGGAAGGTGCTGGGGGGGCTCAGGACCCCTCACCCCCCCTAAGGGGGTCACTCACCTCGTGTGCTTTGAAGGCCTTCTTGTCTGTGAAGAGCAGCTCGTTCCACACCACCTCCACCCCCTCCTCCGTGTCCATGGCCAGGAAGGTGCTCTGGATGCCAGGCATGTTCCCCTGGTTCACCTGC